TCATACTCATTTTCTGATTCCCCATAGTCGACTACCTACTCCATATCATTATCAGCCAATCAACTTTTGCTGCACTAGTTTGTCTGTCGCTAGTATCTAGTCTGCTGACATACAAACATACAAACATACATACAAACATACAAACATACATACAAACATACAAACATACATACAGGCATTTTAACTCGATAAGACCCTTTCCTTTACAGTCAAGGGAATATTATAGTAGTCGTTCTCTTTGTTTTACTTAATAAAATATGTATACAAAAATTTAAAAAAAGATCATGAGTTTATTGCTAAACTTTTTTTGAATAAAAAGAACAGAAATAAACGAAAATAAAAATAATGGAATTATTTTTTATAGTGGATTTTTTTCTTGCTAATAAAAATCTATAGACGCGGACCCGTTGAATTCAAAATCTTCGGACCCGGGCACGGATCTGATGGGCTCTAGTCGGCGCTCACATGTCGGTCGCTCAAACGTCGATTAATCCTATTTGTTACTATATTTTCTTTTTAACATCTGTTGTCTGCGCATGCTTATTACGTTGCTGTAAAAAAAAAGTTATGTTAGTTTGTAAAACGTTAAAGACTATTTCTTCTTCATGTTTTCGTTCTTCGTTGTGTACATGATGAAAACTCAAAAAAAGTAGATATAAACTGCGAAAATCCTAAGTAGAAATGGTCTGCATATAACGTTAATGTCCTATATACAACGGACACTATTTTGCTATCCCTTTTAAAATAAGAACGATAAAAACACAATGTTTGCCCCATTCAGATCTAAAGCTACACATGATGAACAGCAAATAAATTTCTTGCTTTTCTGTACGGAAGAATCGCTTGAATCGAGAACAAAACCCCCGTTATGAGGGCTGCGCGATTACAATTACAAGATGTAAAGTTCAAACACAGCTATTATTCCTAGAATTCAGAATAAAAAAATTCTGAATTCTAGGAATAGTAGCTGTGTTTGAACTTTACATCTTGTAATTGTAATCGCGCATCTCTGCCTATTGTTTTATTTTTCGATTGCCGAACAAATTTTTAATGTGAAATACAGATGAGGGACGCTAATTTGAACAAAATAAAGAGGAAATCCTGCTTGTTTTAACTCTTTCTGTTCTAAAAAATCCTGTCTAAGAAGAAAAAATCATTCTCGATTTATTGATACGAATCAGGGCATAGGTTTTTAAAGACTCTGGGGAAACTGTCTTTATTACTCTAGCTCAAGTGTATTAGTATTACAAATTTGACTTGCAAAAAGAATACTACTATCAGGGTTAGAAAAGCCGGCAAATGTTTATTTCCGTCTTGAGAGCATGCATAAAAAAGACACCATTGGCACGTACCGATGCTAAGACACGCACTGTAACTCAATATTCTTTATAGTCCATTTACCAATACTATATTTAACAACATCAGTAACAATTTCACCACATGATCACCTTCCGCTAAAATTTTGTTGAATATTCAAAATAGAACAAAGGTTGAAACATCATTAATAAAGATTCGATATTATTCTAACAAAGATTTCAATATTATTACTGCCAGTAGTCATCATTCAAAAATCAAAGAGTATCTGAATAATAAAATCAGCACGAAATATCATGGAATAAGCTAAGTCTTGTCGACCAATGGTTAGCTCAAATAACCGTTATTATGTGTATTAGAGCCGCCCTTCTCACACGAAAAATCCCGTTTTTGGGGGAAAATCCGTATTGAAAATAGTACTTAGTTGGATAGCCTAGAGTGTCTACTATCAGAATCCATTTAAATCAGACCTCCATCAAAGTTTCTGGCAGTTTGCATAGCAATGTACTCGGATTAAAATGAGACATCTCGTAGCTCTAGACGATGTTTCAATCAAAAGTGGCGTCGGATGAACTAAAGAGTCGTAAATCATGCACCAGACACTAGCGCTACCATATCTCAAAGACCTAATGACGAACATCGTTCAAAATATTTCTTCGTTAGATTGAATGACCGAAAGCTGGATAATGGGGATAAGTTGCAGCTGAAACTGATGGTAATGACTTTATAAAGCTCGATTATAAATCAGAACTTTTGCTTGTACGAAATGTAGGTTCTACCAAAAACACTTTGACTTTTTCTGCTACCAAAAACAAGAAAAATTATCGAAATTGGGTTATATCCCACCCTTACTGAAGTTCTATCTGTAATTTAAAACTAACTCGAGCTCTTTATGATTTAACTTGACGGAGAAATCTTCTGGGCAGAACCCTCGGACTTGTGGCACCTGAGATTCAATTAAAAGTTTCTTTACATTAAACCAGGGAAAATTCAAGATGGACATATAGCAACTAATCAGCTTGATTTTCTCTGAAACTCATTGACTGACTTTCTCTGGACTAGAAACTAAATATTCATTATTTCTCAATATCCCGGCTTTTACTGCGGTAGTTTACTAAAGTATTCTTTCATAACTTCGTTAGCAATGACCTTGAGTTTTGATGTTTGTTGAACGGTCGTTATGTCGTCTATATATTTATGTTCTGTAAAATGCAACTATTATAGTAGTCATGTCGATAGGAGTTTTTTTCTTGAAAAAACCTGTTGTATTTACAAAACCAGAAGAAACAGTAATAATTGAGTTTATCGCATTATTAAAGTGCACACAGTAAATGATGTATAGCAAATATTACAAAAATTCAAACTACTATTTACGTCTCGTGTATCCTCATTCGAGAATTATAGAACAAAATGAAAAAAATACTTACACTGCGGGAGTAGAGTCAAGTGATCATGCCGAAAAGCAATCACCTCCTTTTTGAAATGATATCCCCCTTTTCTTGAATAACTTTCGATAGAAAAAAGATAAAGATCTGCCGTTTTCCTTTATGACACTTACGTTAACCCTTTGAGTCCCAAATTTTTTTTGCTGGTTTGAACGTAATTCGTAATTCTCAATTTTCTCCACCAGAACTCAATTTGTACGCAATAAAAATATCATATTCGGAATCAGGATGAAAAAATGAATTGACTGATGTGTATCCCTATTCTATTCGAGTACTTTAGTTTTTTTCGAATTTTCACGTTGAAAAAATCATCAAGATTTCCACCCAAAACTGAAATCAGCTAAAATTTCGAAATACAGATCAGTCGACTGAGTTTTTGATCCTGATTCTAAATATGATATTTTTATTATATAGAAGTTGAGTTCTGATCGAGAAAATTGAAAACTACGGACAGAATTCCGACTTTTTCGCTACTGGTTTAGAAAAAACGAATTTTCTCAGCAACGAAACTCGCATGAGCTAAAATCTGCGTGATATTTGGACTTGACTAGCATTTATACATGATAGTTAATAAGGAAATATTGAACATTTGCACAGATTTCAAATCATTTGGTTGCACCATTTTCGTATATGCATAAAAATAGTTTTTGGAAGCTGATCAGAATACCATTTTCTTTTAGACGGTTTATCCGATTTTCTCAGTCCGATAATATATTTTTCATCAGAAATATTTTCCACCATTTTCAGCAGACATTTCAGCCCTCTCATTCTTCTTTCGCTAAAACAATAACAAAACTAGCTCAATACATATGCCTTTCTACTTGATTTATTCATTTTATTTTTTGGAAAAATTATTGTTTACAAGTTCTTGTATTTAATGATATTTCAAAAGTTGAATGATTACTTAGAAGATAATGCATATATTAATATTGTTGTATAAAAGAACGATCAGTAAATAAAGAGTATTTTTCTGCAGCACATATCCATGTGTATTAAAAGTCTTTTGATCTTTTTTCGTGCAGGGAAATTGTTTTTTCTAAAAAGTGACATTGACCAAAGTACAACTTGCTCTTTCCCGGGAAGTGCAGTGGACAACATGTCTCCTCTACTGATATTACCTTACAGAATCTAATGAAACGATTTGTAAAACTGTTTTGCTGACATATATTTAATTTCTTCTTTTTATAGTGATCAATCTCTGATAGCTCAATTTCTTTTTTTCCATTTCACTGTCACGTCCAGCTGAAGTCGTCTTGTATCTACATATCTCACTTACTCTTTTCTATGTTAACAGAAAATGATGACGCTCCTTCTGATGTATTAGCCACTGTTATGTGTTGTTTTCTCGATATAATTACATCCACATTATAAGCGATAAGTCGATAATTTGAGCAATTTCTGAATACTAATCGATGTTGATTTAAAAATACGCGATAATGGAGTGTCTGCAGTAAACAAAATGATAGTGAATGGATAAAATAAAATTGTTTTTTACTATTTTTATTATAGTAACCCAACAATTATGTAGTAGTTTGAATTGTTATAGTTGTACTGGGGCTTTAAATGGTTGTGGCGATCCGTTTAGTTCCAGTGGATCGGCCGTTTCAACAACGGGGACAAGCTCAAACACATATTGTACTGTAAGTATAAATATTTCAACATAATCTAGACATTACAGAAGTGAAGATTAGATAATGGAACAGTGAAGGTAGTTTATTGGTGTTTGCTAAGATTTGAAGTGATGATTGCAAAATTTGCTTTTATCTTTTACACATGTGGTTCTATATTGATTGAAATTTGCTTTAGGTTAATATGGTAGAACTTCATTAGAAAAGGATCATAATCAATTTAGCTGTACACTTTCGAGAAGAAGTACAGTCAATGAGGGAATCTTAAATGAAGAGGTGTTCAATAAGGTTCAGCTACAGTTTTATTATTTTCGTCTCTTTGCAATAGTCAAAGACCGACAGGCAAGTAAGGTATGTGTTTGAAGGGTGAAAAATCGAATGAGACTTTTTTTAGGTGTTAGCTTAGATGTTCCTTTTCAAGTATATACCATTGCAAAGATACAAAAAAATTACAGCTG